CAATTTCTTTAAAAAGACGGCCAAACAACCTGATCAAGACCAACCGAATGTAGCTGGTGGTAGCACATCGTACGTTGTGAGTGCTGCTACAACAGAACCGAGAGAGGAGGGAGCTAACGTCAGTGCTAGTGCTAACTTGACAGCTAACGTTAACTTGGGGGCTGAAGAGCATAGGCGGCGCGTGAGGCTCAGCTTTGGGAAGGCTAAATAACTTTTGTTTTCATCTTACGCTGCCCGCCTCCGGCGTCTATAGAAAAGAGATCAACTCAGTGAAAGCACCATCTGCTGACCGATCAGAGCTCAGTGTGCGGAGTTTAAATCTATCAAGTCATATTACAGGAAAAAGGAAATGCAGTTTAAACTGCCGTATGCAGAGAAGACGCCGACGTGTCGCACTTATCATTCATATCACACTGACATCACATCATCAATCAGATCATCGATCTCACATCGATATCACAATATTTCCTTATCTGAGTCAGCTTCTCGAGCCGTATCTGGCCGTGCAACACTTAGTAACATTGTCACATATACTGTATGCAGACGTATTATTTTAAGCAACACATTAAGTTGACGAAACACTCAACTAAAATGTAATAAAGTCAGATCCCCTCGTGTTTTAGATGGGGCAGTATCATAACACTGTTGTACGCTTTCAAACACTCGGTAGTTTGTTTTTTAACGAGTTGTTCTGGATTCTCCTTGCAGGTGCAACTATGTGGCTTGTATCCTGGATATGTTTAAGTCATCATGGATGTTTAAAGTTCATATTTGTCTAATATTAGTTTACTTTTCATTAATGAAGTATGATGTTGCGCTGTCAGTACACTTGTCCCTGTTTGTGATTGGTCAAATGTAGCTAACCCCGCCCCTTTCACGTGAACGCGTTCTCAGCTGGAGAGAGAAACCATGGCTTGATTTACCGAGTTGATAACCAGCGCCGTAGGACCGTTTAGCGAGATCGCGTTTGTTAGGGTTAGTTAAGATAACTCAAGCATATCCAGGGTCTGTTGAACTGGCTTCGTGGTACAGGGCACAGGTGGCTGCATAGCAGCGCTAATGTCAAAGACATTATATTTTTATTTTACCAGGATGCAGTTACACAAATATTTGGGAGGGCTTAGCCTTCATAGCCTACAGCACCCGCCGCCCTGCTGAAGAGACACAAGAAGACGAGCCAAGAGAAGCTAACTTGATGACTACAACTACCATAGTAGAGGTCGAAGGAGATGTGGAAGAAGATGATGATGCTGCTGATGACCACCCCACCTGTTCTTCCTCTTCCTCCCTGCCTGCTGCTCGAGATGGGGGGGGCAAAGTTGCTGCGGTGGTCCCGCGGTCGCCGGCTGGCTGGACCAGTTATCAAGTTGATTGAAGTTTGCGTAGCCCATACATGCTCGGGAAATCTGTTGACATGAACATGATCCATTGGGACGTTTCATGTAAATGTAGACCTGTGGCACCACCCCGTGTGCAACAGATTTTCTCTTTATAATAGGTCTATGTCTGTGCTGTTGCTATTAATGCACGGATCAGCATTTACCCCCACCCCCGCAAAAATAATAAAAATCCCGGCTCCCCCGGAGACCGTGGTATAGTTCGCACACTGGTCGAGTGTGTTGTTTCCTCTGCTGGGGCAGGCAACTTGCTGGTGGTAGTTGGGAAGCTCCGTGGACAGATTGGTGTGGTTGAAGTCGCCTAACACAATTATTGCTGCGTCTGGATGTGCGTTTTCCACGGAGGAGATGTGACTGGCTAGATCGCTCATAGCCTCAGCTGGAATGTAAACACCGATTATGATTATCGATGCAAACTCTCTGGGAAGGTAGGTGGGTCTGCATTTGACAGTTAGATGCTCCAACTATAGGCCCATTAGTGTGTTACCTGTCATGTTTAAGATCTCATCTTAACAGTAGTCCTTTCACACTACACCCCATGCAATGCGGCTTCCGAGCCAATCATTCCTCTGAGTCCGCAAATTGTTTTCTTGTGGAAGATATGAAATCAAAAATGGACAAAGGAGGCATGTTGGAGCAATCTTCTTAGATCTTAAGAAAGCTTTTGATACAGTCAATCATCAAGTACTCATTCACAAAATGTCTTATTTTAATTTCTCACCCAGTGCAATAGACTGGATGAGCTCCTATCTGTCAGACAGAGTTCAGTGTGTAAGGGTAAGGGACGAGACATCTCCACCCCTGAGGAATGAACTGGGTGTACCCCAGGGATCTATCCTGGGCCCAATTCTATTCAGCCTTTATATAAATGACTTGCCATCAGTGTGCACTGGATGTGAGGTGCAAATGTACGCTGATGACACTGTCATTTAAGTCCATGCAAAAACCAAGGCTCAAGCTGCGGCCAAACTAAGTGATGCAATGGTGCATGCACATCAATGGCTTACTGACTCACAGCTATATCTGAACGTTAAGAAGACAGTCTGTATGTTTTTTAGCAAGACCAACACTGTATCACACTGTGAACCCAAGGTCTATGTGTGTGGGGAGGTCATTCAAACAGTTACACATTTTAAATATCTAGGCATTATCCTTGACACTACTCTATCCTTCAACAAACAAGTGATAAAGGTAATGCAAATAACTAAATACAATCGAGCAACCTTTAGATATATAAGGAACTGTTTGACAACACCTGTAGCAAAACTCTATATGACTGCCATGATCCTTCCCCACCTAACATACTGTATGAGCAGCAGGACCCAGGTGAACCAGCTGGACCCAGGTGAACTAGCTGGACCCAGGTGAACCAGGTGAACCAGCTGGACCCAGGTGAACCAGCTGGACCCAGGTGAACTAGCTGGACCCAGGTGAACCAGCTGGACCCAGGTGAACCAGCTGGACCCAGGTGAACTAGCTGGACCCAGATGAACCAGCTGGACCCAGCTGGATCCAGGTGAACCAGCTGGAGCCAGGTGAACCAGCTGGACCCAGCTGGACCCAGGTGAACCAGCTGGACCCAGGTGAACTAGCTTGACCCAGGTGAACCAGCTGGACCCAGCTGGACCCAGGTGAACCAGCTGTACCCAGGTGAACCAGCTGGACCCAGGTGAACTAGCTGGACCCAGATGAACCAGCTGGACCCAGGTGAACTAGCTTGACCCAGGTGAACCAGCTGGACCCAGCTGGACCCAGGTGAACCAGCTGGACCCAGGTGAACCAGCTGGACCCAGGGGAACCAACTGGACCCAGGTGAACCAGCTGGACCCAGGGGAACCAACTGGACCCAGGGGAATAGCACCACATCAAGGCCTATCCTATCACTTCACAAACAAGCTCTCAAAGTGTTGGACAGGAAACCTAAGCTATACCACCATTGCAAAATCCTGGACAAACATAACCTTCTCAGCTGGAACATATTTTAAAACACTGATGCATGTCTCATTTTTAAGATTCTAAACGGCAAGGCACCCCCACCACTCTGCACTTTTATACAGCAGAACCATTCAAACAGCAGAACCACAAGGTCTGCCCTAGAGGGGACTGTGTAGTCCCTCTTAGGTCCAGTTCCTTTGGTAAACACTGTTTATCTGTGAGGGCATTCTGGAACACAATACCAATACAGATAAGGAATAACACCTCCTATCATACATTTAACCACTATCATAAGAACTGGCTTTTAACCAATCAAAAATGTGAACACTTTTAACTGTATCATTGTATGATATATTTCATCTGTTTGCATGGTTGTCTGTTCCTATTTATTGTTGTACTGCTGTTGTCTGTTGTCTTCTATTTAATTATGTTTTTATTTCTCTAGTCTTGTTGTGGTCACTTAACACCTTGCTAAGGACAACAGTTGAAAATTAGACTGCTGGCTAATACTGGCTCATTTACAGCAATGTGGATTAATGTGCACTGTCCTTTAAATAAATAAACAAGTTAAGGTGCATTCACACCGGACGCAATGTGAATCTTGGAGCGTCGCGATTGCATGTAAAGCAGGGCTGCCCCTGGCCAACTTGTGGACCCACGCGACATCGTGTGATGAGGCTGTGTCGCCGCGAGCATCTACTCTCAGTTTCTCTCTCTCGCTCTCTAACTCACGCGAGAACAGCATAACGAGACGTGAGCTTGGACTTCAAAATAAAAGACTCTAAATATTGCACACATGAAATATTGCAACACATAATAATAATTATTAGACTTAGAAACATACATATTACAGTTAAGTGATGAACATGTAAAAGCTACACTTACATGTGCAATTCATGAGAGTCCAATTTGTTCATCTTCTGAGTCAAATTCGCCTGACGCTGTCTCGCGTTAGCCAATCAGCAGTGAGGATCTCAGTCTGATGTCACTGACGTTGAATCAGGAAACCAGAACATTAGCTGTTAGCCGTTAGCTGTTAACACAGAGCTCACAGCTCCTCATATCTGTTCAGAAACTGGAGAAAGTTATAAATATAGAAAACACAGTCTGTCTGTGGCATGGAGACCACAGACTGTCTGTGGCATGGAGACCACAGTCTGTCTGTGGCATGGAGACCACAGACAGTCTGTGGTCTCCATGCCACAGACAGACTGTGTTTTCTATATTAATAACTTTTAAGCTTTTGAATTTGAATTGGTCTCCATGCCACAGACAGTCTGTGGCATGGAGACCACAGACAGTCTGTGGCATGGAGACCACAGACAGTCTGTGGTCTCCATGCCACAGACAGTCTGTGGCATGGAGACCACAGACAGTCTGTGGCATGGAGACCACAGACAGTCTGTGGCATGGAGACCACAGTCGCTGCTTTATTTCTGTATGTGTGACGTTGTTGTGAGTGTGGACGGAGCAGCTACATGTTAGCTTAGCCTGATCTCCATGCAGAAAACATTTGAAAGTGTCTCCTCAGTGTCTGCACACTTGTCAAAGCATGAAGACATGTTGGCAGGTCCGGTGTGAACGCAGCATTAGAGGGTGGTAGATGTAGATGTGAGGGTAACTGCAGTCTGTGCTGATATCAAGAAGTGTTCTGTTGTTCATCATGAACTCATGTTGGAACTGAGTCCAGTTTGAATCTGAAATATTGTTTCATCTCTCTTTCTCTCTGTGTTCTCTCCTCTGCAGACTCTGTCAGGCTGCTGGGGGGGACCAGTCTGTGCTCAGGCAGACTGGAGGTGAACTCTAACCAGTCTAACCCGTCCTGGTCCTCAGTGTGTGAGGCTGACTTTGACCAGCAGGATGCTCAGGTGGTCTGCAGGCAGCTGGGCTGTGGGGCTCCTTCAGCCCTCCAGGGGGCGCTCTATGGAGAAGGGGAGGCTCCAATGGGGACCAAAGAGTTCCAGTGTGGAGGCCAAGAGTCTGCTCTCCTGGACTGTAGCTCAGCCTCAGAGAGAAACACCTGCTCACCTGGCACAGCTGTTAGCCTCACCTGCTCAGGTAGAGAGGAGCTGTGATTGGTTCATTCTGTTCTCATCAAACTCACTTTATTCTCTCTCTGATCTCTCTCTCTCTCTCTGATCTCTCTCTCTCTTGTTTCTCTGCAGAGCCGGTCAGACTGGAGGGAGGAGAGAGTCGCTGTGAAGGAGCTCTGGAGGTGAGACGTGAGGGAAAATGGAGACCAGTGGGCTATCCCTCTCCATGGACCCTGAAGGAAGCAGCAGTCGCCTGCAGAGAGCTCGACTGTGGCTCTGCTGTTTCTGTGGGATGGAGAGAGGAGTCCTCAAAGAGAGATGTGTGGGGGATCAGCTCTCGCTGTCTTCAGTCTGGATCTCTGAGGGACTGTGCATCATCATCTTCCTCTCGCTACACCCTGACTATCACCTGCTCAGGTTAGCCCCTCAGTGACATCAAGTCATCTGTCTTTGTTTGATAGAGGCCATTTTTCTAAAGGGAAGGGGAAGGTGAATCAAT